TAAATTGAAGAAAAAGAGAAGGAAGAATAGTATAGATTACATCCTGAGGACCAGCGGTATTAACATTTATCTTGTTTTTCTAAATTCTGACCTTTTTTCTAATTATTTAGGAACAAGTAGTAATAACTGGAAAATATTAAGGAATCACTGAGAAAATAGCCATTTCAGATATCTCATTTTTTATTTTACTTTTAATTATATTTTCATTATCTTTAAGTAGTTGTACAAAGGGGTTATCATTCATCTTCTCAGTTTATGAGCACAATGCATCTTGATCAATATCAGCCCCTTAATAATACTCCCCTTCCCTCCCAAACTTACTCATCTTCTCTATTTTCCTAGTTTCATAGGATAGGCAATGAATGTTTTTATTTCAGGGAGAGAAAAGGGATTGTTGTATCAGGGAGATATTATAGACATGATAGATGGATTTCATAAAGTATATATAAAGCCTTAGGTACTCTTTGTAAAAATGGTAGATTTGTAAACAGTTAAATGGGTAGTGCTGACCTCTGAATAGGTGTCTGATAACAGGTCATAAGCACAATGTTCTTGGATTTGACCTAGTATACCTTGATCCAAGTGTTAACATTACAATAATGGCAGCATACATCCTTGATATATAAATAAGCAGAAACTGAAGGGTGACTTGCTTTTGTTGTTGCTTAAATATGTTTTATTAACATACATCATTATTATATGAGGGGAATTTCATTGTGACATTTCTATATATGCATATAATTTATCTCTATCGTGATTAAATGTTTGATGGCAAATTGAAAGAATGAGTAAAACTTCGTTAACCATAACGTAATTTAAAAAATGGCAAAACTTGCAGTAGATAGAAAAATAACTCCACCCATTGAAGATAAAATCTTCAGGGCTTAAGAAGTGCACTTGTCAGAAAGAAAAGGTTTTAGTTAACTTTGAAAGCATTGCCACTAGGAGTGGGCCGATGGCTATTCTCAAATCCAGCTGTAATCTTACAGTGTATTAATAGGAATAATATATTTCGGTAAACGAAACTGTTATTCCCTTCCAGGCACTGGCCAGATATCTGTTAGAGCATTTGCTGTTCTTTGAAATTGTATTAGTTGGTATGAAATATTTGTGATAGAAGAAATTATGGCATAAGGGATTTAAAATCATGCCTTATTATTCCAAAGAGGAATTCGAACTAAAAGCAATCTTGAAGGAAGGAAGTAAATGATACCACTTTAATGTGTATGATACGATATAGAAAACAGACATTGGGTATGTTCTGTAGTCAAGTTTTGCCCATCCTATACATGTAGGAAGGATTGCAAGGAAGATAGACTTCATCTCAACCTAAAATTTTCTAACCAATAGGGCTATTCTTTCATGGCCTACTTCAGCAGAATTGTTTCCTCCCAATTGCTAGACTGATTTAGACAGAGGACTCATGCCTCCAGTTTTGGATGTTTATAAAGGAGCTATGGGGCTGAGGAGGTACATTGTCATGCTTTCTCTTCCAGCTTTGAAATGCAAAAACCCTTGTTTGGTTGAGTATGAGTAGTCTACATAGTCAGTGAAGGAACATGTCTTGAGGAAGAGATGGTAATTGCAGAACACTTCAGAAGTGGCGTTTCTAAGAATGTGAATTATGAACTAGTTTTGTAGAATAATGTGTAAAATTGACGGAACAACAAAAGTACATACATTTAATAGTCAGTAAAGAGAGAAATCTACCAGTGTGGAACTGCTTTTGGTGACAGAGATTCCATGGATATGTTTATTTAACTATATGACATATAGAGATACATGCTTTTTAGTTATTTTAGTATTCACAGTGTGTTATTTGCTCCCTTTCTTTTTTTAATTTTAATTTTATTGTCAAGGTGATGCACACAGGGTTTACAGTTACATAAGTAAGGTAATGAGTACATTCTTGTCAAATTTGTACCCTCCCCTCATTTTTCTCCCACTTTCCCTCCCCTCAATACCCCCCAAGTTGTACAGATCATTTCTAAAATAGTGTCTTGTGAGTATCACTATTGCATTGGTTCCCCCTTTGTCCTTTGTGTCACCATTTTTTTTAATTCTCCTTCCCTTCCCTAATTCAGATAAATGTATATAAAACAACAGGGTATCAAAATCAAATACAATTATGATGGGATAAACCATAGGGGGAAAACACTAAAGAATCCATTTAATACATTTAAAACAACAACAACAAAGAAAAACCTCTTGTGTCCATGTCTTGAAGTTCATTTCACTTAGCATCATCTTATACGACATATGTACATAGCTATTGAGCTATTCTGCTCATCTGCTAAGGTTATGTTAGATGTATACTATTTATTACAAATAAGGGAAACCATAGAACCTATGTTTCTTTGGGTCGGGCTTACTTCACTTAATATGATTTTTTCCAAGTCCTTCCGTTTCCTTACAAATGGACTGGTGTCTCCCTTTCTTCTATCTGTTTCTTAAGGGGAAAATGTTATATGGATTTTTTAAGTGTTTATTTTCTCATGCCAAAAGAGTAAAAAGTTTTTATCTCAGGCTTAAGAAAACACATATAGGCTGGGCACTGGTGGCTCACGCCTCAAATTCTAGCTACTCAGGAGGCCGAGATCTGAGAATTACAGTTGAAAGCCAGCCCAGGCAGGAAAGTTCATGAGACTCTAAGTATCCACCAGAAAACCAGAAGTGGAGCTTTGGCTCAAGTGGTAGAGTGCTCGCCTTGAGCTAAAGAGCTCAGGGACAGTGCCTAAGCCCAGAGTTCAAGCCTTACAACCCGCAGAAAAAAAAAAAAACACAAATGAATACATTTCATGACATGTAGGTCATTTTATTTCCTTTGTTCCACTTCACTGTATTTCACAGTTCAGTTCAGAATTTTGGGCTCACTGAGTTAATATCCTTTGATGGGAAGTTGTTGGGAATTTGAGACTTGTATTCAAGCTTTTTTTGGCTAGATTATATGGCATAAGAAGGGAGAGACAGTGGATGACTACAAGAGAGAACAGGACAAATGCAGCAAGAGTACTCAATGTACATATGAGCTAAAAGAATTACGAAGTATAAAGTGAGTAGGGGAAAGGGCAGGCTGGATGGGAGAAAATGACTGAAGGAATAACTGAGCAGTACTGGACACTGACATGGACATGTTAAATCACAACTCCCTTGTGAAACCTTTTGAAATGCAGAAAATAAATATTAAAAATTAAGCAAATTTAAAATCTCTGATGTTTTTTGTAAGTCTTTCCATTATTATATGTGTAGGATAATCTTAGCAGATGAGTCGAATAGCTCAATAGCTATGTACATATGACCACATAAGATGATGCTAAGGAAAATGAACTCTTTAAGACATGGACACAAGAGGATTTACTTTGTTGTGGTGGTTTTTAATATACTATGTGATTCCTTGTTTCTAATCTATGTTCTACCCCCTATGGTATATCCCCTGTTGTCACAGTATTTGATTGGTACCCTAGTATTGTATATATGTTTATCTGATTGAGGGAAGGGAAGGGAAACAATAGAATGATGAGACAAAAGACAAGGTGAGAACCAATGCAACAGCAATATACACAAGACAATATGTTGGAAATGATCTGTAAAACTTGAGGGGGTGGTTAGGGGAGAAGAGGGAGAAAAATGAGGGAGGGGATGACAAGTTCAACAAGAAATGTACTTATTACCTTACTTATGTAACTATAACCCCTCTGTATATTACCTTGACAAAAACATCTCTGTTGTTTATCACAGCAAACATTTATAATGTGAAATCTGCCCATTAGTGGCATGGTTCTCCACACTGACTTCTCATCTAAGCCATGGCCCTTTTGTGGGCCAGGAGCAGAAGAGGCAAGAAAAACTATGAAGACATTTAAAAAACAATTCACACAAAAGTGATATGCATTACATTCATTCATGTTCTATTGGCCAAAGTAAATTACTGTGGTCAAGCTAAAAAAAATTAGGTGTTGTATGCAGGAGAACTCTGTGTGGATGTATGTGGATGTACACATGCACACCTACATATATGAAGAAAGATTTGAAAACAATGTAATTGAGTCTCTTGGGAAATACTGTGATGGGAGAGTGACATGATGTAGCCATAGCTAACACCAGTTAAGATGAGACATATTGCAAACAGAATCACTATTGAGGATGACTTAGTTTTTCCTGACTTTGTAACTACCAGAATCCTATGGATGAAACTTTCGTGCCGTTAATCTCAGGATGTTTGCCTTTTTCTCTTTGCACTGCCTGTGGTATTTTAGGAGTTGCCTGAGTCTTAGATATCTTCACTTTTAATCAGTTTTTCTTCATGTAGCTACAATAATTTGATCGGCCAATGCTGTGCAAGAATATTCTGTAGTAAAGAGAAACAGAAATATTGCCTGTGGTCACTCCTGTAATCCTAGCTACTCAGACACCTGAGACCTACAGGACTGTTGTTCAAAGCCAGCCAGGCCAGAAAATTCTGTGAGACTCCATCTCCAAAGTAACTAGCAAATAGTTGGACTACAGGCATGGCTCAAGTGGTAGAATTCCAGTCAAACAGGCAGGTAGGGGAGATGAGGTCCTGAGTCAACGCCCCTGCCCCCCGTACTGCCAAATAAATGAATAAATAAAACAAAAAAAGCAGAAATAGTTAAATATTCAGCAAAACGAGTCCATTGTGCTATGAGAAAATTGTCTAATGCAGAAAACTACATTCTTTATGAAACCTGTAATATGTAATTCCTGAAAATGTATACTGGTGAGTAAAAACAGAGCTAGGGATTCCTTGGGTCAGAGGTCAGGGAAGATAGTTATGAGGAAGTTATTAGGATAATCATCACATTGGAGTATACATCAAATTGCAGACCTGAAAGAGGTAAATTCCACATTAATAAAAGTAGAGGAAACGTGTGGTTATCAAATAAGAAGCAGTTTCCCTTTTGAAGTTCAGAAGAGAAAAATAGAAAAACAATCAGTTACTCTTTCTATAAATCTTTGAACTTTGTTTATGTCTGTTTTAGGAGGAACTTGAAACAGCCAAGAAGTTTTTATATTATGAAATGGGCTATAAATCTCGGTCTGAACAATTAACAGATCGTTCTGAAATTTGCCTCCTGCCTTCAGACATTGACAGGTATTCCTAATGAGCTTCCTTCTCTCTTTTCTCATTCTTAGTAAGTATATTTCTAAATCACTCAATGTTGTGTTGCAGGTACAAGAAGAGATTTCATAAGTTTGATGCAGACCAAAAAGGCTTTATTACCATTGTTGATGTTCAGCGTGTATTAGAGGTAACATGTTTTTGGTTCAGCATCAGTCTTTGATAGCAAAAGAGTTTAAGGATAAAAATAGTTAACTTTTTTCTCATCTAATGTTTCCTACAAACAATATTCTTAGTTTAATTTTAGAAAGCTTGGTCACATTAGGAAAAGGATATGCATAATTTTTAATTAAACTCATTATTCTGTGCTTTTCTCTTAGAATATCAATGTACAAATGGATGAAAATACACTACATGAAATTCTTAATGAAGTAGATTTGAACAAAAATGGGCAGGTTGAACTCAATGAATTTTTACAGGTGAGTTGTTGAAAGAGCACATGCATTTGCTTTTATCTTTTAGTTGTCATTATTGTTCCAAGAATGATTTTTATTAGCATATATTCCACAAAATAAAATAATGGGACTCATGATATTTTCCTACATGTGAAGTCCAGACATGCATTCATTCCCTCCCTCCTTCCTCAATTACTCTCTCCCTCCCTTCCTCTCACTTTCTTTCCCTCCCTCCCTCTTTGTTTCCTTCCTTCCCTCCTTCCTTCCTTCCTTCCTTCCCTCCTTTGGGCTTGTATGCTGTCTCTTAACTTTTTCTTCTTAAAACTCATGCTCTACTACTGCTTCACTTCTAGCTTTTTTTCTGGTTAATCAGACGTAAGAGTCTCATAGACATTCTTGCCTGGGCTGGCTTTGAACCTCAGTCTTCAGATCTCAGCCTCCTAACAGGCATGAGTCAGTGATACCTAGCTAAAGTCCATGTATTGTCACTTCATGTAGAAAGAGAAGAAAATGGGATGTCAGATGCAGCTCTGGCTGTCCACCTTCAAGGAGGAGGCTCTCTTCTCTTGCTTTTCATAAGAAATATTTTATGTGTGACAATTTAGATGAAATCTAAGTTAATTGTGGCTTAAGGAGTATACAAGCAGCTTTTTAAAGAAATCTATCTTGGAATAACACTGTTGGGTCATTCTGTCCAAGAGAGGCAACAAAATATTTCTACTGTGGATTTTTTTTTTGTATCAGGGATTAAACTCAGGACTTTTGATTATGCTAGGCAACAACTCTACAACTTGAACCTATACCATCAGCTTTTTGTTTTGTTTTGTTCTCAAACAAAGCTCTGGCTGGCTTTGAACCTCTGATCTTTCTCCCCCAGCCTCCTGAGTACAGTGATTTTAAATATATATCACCATGCCCATCTAGAAGGTATATTGTTTTTATGGAACAAATTACAAATTACAAGAATCATATTTATTTGAGAATATAATTATTAGATTGTTAAGTTATAAATAACAAGGAAAACAGAAGAAATGAAATTTACATATTCTGGGCTGAAGACCCATATAATTTATACATTTTGGTTGCCAATTTTCAATTTACTGAAGTGTCATATGTTTGACCTTTGTAATCATGAAGAAAAGTTTTGTTACTTTAGCTTTAAACTGGTTGCTAGGCATCATTCCTTAAAAATTCCTTAAAGAAAATGCAAAAAATCCACACATTATTTGTAGCTGTCTATATGATTGTAATCATTTGAAGAATGTATTGGTTTCAAACTAAGCACCCAGGTTTTTTTCTGGAAGGTTTCATGGAAAGGTATTTCAAATGAATGCCAGGCCTTGCTTGCACTGTGGCAATGATGAATGCTGAACATGAAATAAATTAATGCTGGGGATTTTGGTCAATGTCAGCCCTTTCTTCAGTGTGTCAAGTTAAACAAACAAGATCAAGGCAAAGGAAATGGTAATTGTCTCTCTGGAGATGAGCTGCAGATAAGAGCATTGTTGAATCTAAATGCAGAAAATTTTCACAGGCTGTGTCCAGCATTACAAAAATGAATGTTTAGTCCTTTTAACTTTTACAGTTTAACTAAGTGCACATTTTAAATTAATTTTAAATTTATGGGTAGGAATTAGAAGTCATTTAATGAATATTTTTGGTGTTGGTTTCCTGGAGAATATCTTATTATTTGTTTCAGAATGTTAGAGTACTTTTCTTCAAAGAAATGGCTTATGCTTCACTTCATGTGTATTGTAAATAAACAACAGCATTTTGGTTTGAAAATTTCAGGATTTAAGAAACAATAGGAATCTAATTTTGTGGATATGCTATGTGGTTTGAGTTTTAGGTAATATTCTTCACTGTAATAAAGTAAAACACATAGAAAATAATTTAAACCATCTGCAGTTTTTCTTGTAGCATTTAAAAATATTTGAGTGTTTCTTGTTCAATTCTAAATGAAAGAGACTATTCTCCATGTAAGTACAGACATACAGTGAATTTTCTAAGTTAAAAAGTACTGTATGTATCATAAAATATATTCAGACTCAAATGTATTTCTTATAATGTGGCTTTTACATTTATGTAATATTTAAAGAAAACTTTGACATTTCGGAGGTTAGTCCATGATTTACAGTTTTTGGCTGAAAGAAAGTCCTAGCTTGGTCAGTCTTGTTACTGTTCATATACTTCCATGGTCTTTCCAGATCAGGGATAAAACAATATACAATAAATTGTTCTGGCAAGGATGCCAATATTGCTTATATTGCATGATTCATCAGATACAGAGTCTATTTTTGGGTTTGTTTAATATTTTACCAAAGAGTAAGAGCCATATTTATGCTATTAGAGATCTTTATTTTTAATATAGAAACTCTTCAGAAAGAGCGTGTTTGACATGACTTTATGTCTAGGTTTGGGCTTTTTAATGACACTTCCATGTCATGTCATGTAGGAGTCCACCTGTAATAAGCAATTGCTTGTGAAACAGTTTTTAATAAGGTCACCAAATTTTGACCCAGCCCCTGGGCAGATACTTCTGACATACTTGCAGAGCTGAGGGGCTTTGTTTTGTTGCTGTTGTTTGTGGAACCCTAAAATATTTAGATTCTTTCCAATTTTTTTCTCATGAATGTCCAACTGTATTCTTTTTAAAATATAACTTTAGTGTTATTATTAAGGTGCTCTACAGAGGCATTACCATTTCCAAAATTCAGGTAATGAGTACATGTTTTTTTTGGACAATATCACCCCTTCTTTCACTTTCCCCTAGTTTCCCACTCTAGTTCCTGCTCCACTCCACTCTTTTTAAGATAAACAGATTGGGGAAATGAGATCAGGAAAAGTAAATACTTAAAGCCACTTCAATGTGAAAATGTAATAATAATAAAAGGAACAATATACTCAAACTCATAATTGAAAAGTGCTTTCCAGATTAAAGACCTCTGCCCACTGACTGCATGAAATTTCAAGACTAATTCTGATTTTATCCATTTGACTAAAAATGAATTAACTAAAATCTGGAGTGCTTTTAATTCTTAGGGCAGATCTCTGGGCCTATTTTCAAGGACTTCGTATGTAAATTACTTTAAAAAGTCTTGAAAGAATTTGGATTTAGGTGACAGTCAAGTACAATTACATTAAAAAAAACTAAAGTTAAATATAGGTCTTGCTTTGACTTTGTTCAATCCCTGAATTCCTGTTTGAGATTTTTAGAAATAGAATTAAATATCCAATATTCGAAGTTGCTTTAAAAGATATGCCCTAGGTATCCTAAGGGAACAAAGAGTGATACATGGGATTTGCTTTTGGAGGCAGGCTGATTTGCAGGATAGATGCCATTTTATTTTATTTTTCAGCAGTGGATGTGTCTTGGTCTCTTCCTCTCTTTTTGACATGTTCAAAAATGTTCCCCTTCTTATTGGAGCCATAGTATTTTGATAGTATTTTAGTATTTTGTGGCTTTTGATAGATCACCTATTTTTGACTGCCACAAGGGTAAGAAGGAGAGAATGAGCTGGCCTACCTTTTAAATCTCTTGCCTGTTTTCTTTTTAAGCTGATGAGTGCTATTCAGAAAGGAAGAGTATCTGGAAGCCGACTTGCTATACTCATGAAAACTGCAGAAGAAAACCTGGACCAAAGAGTTCCAATTCCGGTGGACCGCAGTGGTGGAGGATTGTGAGTCTGACCAGTAAAATCCACAGCCAACCTACACAGAAATGACAAATTATGATGTAGCAAGCAGAGATGACTTAAATCAATTTAACATCATGGTTGTGGTAGCTTTTTTTTAACACTGGAAAACATTCCAAAATTTTGGGTGTTGGTATATTTGCCAACGTAATTTGCCAATACTTTATTTTACTTGCCATTCAGTCGAGCTTCTAAAAAGTGTATTTTCTCATTTTCAGTGCACATTGATTTGATGTTTTGTATCCATTTTGTGACCTGTTAGACTTGACATTCTTCCTTTCTGTTTATCCACTTATTCTAAATCAATTCTGGAGGCAGAATATTTTGGCAGAAAGAGAAAAAGAAAAAAAGAAAAAAGGGTGGAAAAAATTCTGTGACATATACCACGCTCTGGATGTTAAGCTTGTAGATAGCATTTTTTTTTAAAAACAATGACCTATTAAAATGATAGCATTTCTGGCAACTTTGCAGTCCTTTTTTCCTCCAACTGGTCTACCTCCCTCTTCTGAACAATATTGCACATTTTTATGTCCAGGGCATGCCTAGCAAGGCTAAGGGAAAGAAAAAGTTTAGATCTAGTTACAAGTCTCAGAGTGAAGCTCTGAAAGCTTCCAGAATCGCAGGTATAAGATAAGGATAGCACTGACATTTTCTGAGAGTTACAGTGATAGTTTCATCTCAGCAGTTCATTTTTTTTCCCCAGTCACTGCTGGTTTTCTTTTGACTATTAGTGTTGCCAGGAAGATCCTGGCTTTTCTTACTCAAAAGCCAATGTTCAATGTGGCAAGTTAAATTTTATGGGATGAGTCCAAATCTTTCCAATCTTTATATAAAATAATAATAATACAGTGACCCAATTTTTAATCTCTAGATCCTAACTTTTACAGCAGCAGGTATTGTTAACCCTGTCCTCTTTGTTGACAGTATTTGCAAACAGACAATAAAATGACAAAGAATAGAGTTCTTTAATTATAATCACATTTAAAATAAGGCACAAAACTTCAATATCCAAGGTCAATCTGTTTCTTAAAAGCCCTTTTCTTTCTGTACTCAGTGGAAAAAATTCTCCATATATATTTTAAAAACATACATAAAACATGAAACAAAAATAAAAGTCATTGTGCATTGAATTTAACAAATAATACACTGAGTTAAAATGACATTCTGGCATTTTACATAGTCATCTTAATATTTTTTATTCCTTCCTTCCTTCCTTCCTCTGGCATTTTACATAGTCATCTTAATATTTTTTATTCCTTCCTTCCTTCCTTCCTTCCTTCCTTCCTTCCTTCCTTCCTTCCTTCCTTCCTTCCTTCCCTCCCTCCTTCCCTCCCTCCTTCCCTCCTCCCTCCTTCCCTCCTGCTCTCCCTCCCTCCATGCCTCCCTCCCTCCCTTCTCTCTCTTTGTCTCTCCTCTCTCTCTCTTTTCTTTCTTTCTCTCACTCTCTCTTTCTTTCTTTCATTCATTCTATTTTTCTTTCTTTCTTGTCTAGATATTGGGATTTGAACCCAGGACATTGTGCTCTTGCTTGGCTTTTTCATTCAAGTCTGGCACTGTGTTTCCTCTTTCAAAGCCTACTATGTACTTCTTTAAAAAGACCAGGTTCTATATAGGGAGAAATAGATCACTTTATTTCACAGCAGATTTTTATTGCATAGACTTAGTCCTAGTTTTGTAAATGAGTACATAACATGCTTATGTACCATTATTTCTACTTATGTCAACACAATAGAATTCTGTGGATAAAACTGTATGCCATAATATAAACTAGGAGGTTTACTTACCTATTTGTGCCATCATTTCTGAAGCAAGCACAAACTACTTGGGGAGACAGCATTTATTTTTAGTTGAAGTTTAGATGCTTGCCACTTCCTAAAGTAAATCTAAAACAGTTAGATATTCCCTGCTGTCACTAAGCGATATCCCCAGGTATCACTGTGATTTTTTTGTTGTTGTTCAAAGTAAAATTTTACACTGTTATTTTGTTGTTGTTAATGAATGGAAGCAAGTGGCTTTTGAAACTTAATGTTTTTCTATTGACACAATAAATTTGTCTACTGACACTAAATAGGTAGCAAAGCTGTCTTTTAAAACATCCCAGATGACATGCCACAATATTTGTACATTGTACTCTCTCTTTCTCTCCTTCTCTCTCTTTTTCTAGTTAGATCGAGATAACGGTGACTTTTCTCCTCCCTGATTCTGTTACAGTAGGGATGGGATGTAAAGTGTGACTGGCTTGGGCAGACCTGGGTTTGAAAAACAGACCTTGTTTATGCCGGCTTTGCTATGAATGAAGTTCCTATAAGGACAAAGAAGAGTGCAATTTTCTTGATTTGAGCATCTATGCTTTTGCTTAAGGCTGATAATTTAATTCTAAGATACATGCTCCTTCACCAATCCCAGAGACTTGTTTTGGAAATACAGTGGTTTTTAAACCATTACTGTGAATAAGAGCACCTTAGCATTTTCCTCTATGCTCTTAACCCTTTCTTACTTTTTTACCTGGTTTAAGCAAATGGGGAAAAAAATAGAGGACTACCCCTTCAAGACCATTCTAAACACAAACCAATTTTGTTTCCTTATTTTCTCTCTCTCTCTTTCTTTTCATACAAATTGGTGTTGGGTGATTCTGTTGAGGATTGTATCTGGGTGCCAGAGATTGTGTTTTATTTTTACTTTTTTGTCATTAATGTTTTAAGAGCCTTTATAGGGATTCAGGTGAAGGAACCTCATCTGTGCTGGAGAGTTGGCTACTCTAACTTGCTCCACTTCAGTCATAACAATGATAATGCTGGATTATTTGTAAAAGCGAGGTTGTCTGCCTCACGTCCATCTTGCTGTAGCACATTTGCTTCTGATCAGTTTGTACTGAGTGTAACTAGGATTTCTACAATTAAATGCATGCTTTTTATTCTGCCTTAGTTTATAAATGGCTTGATTTTGTCTGTTTCAAAATAGGTATCTTCCTTTTTTGTAAAAAACAAAAAAGTTATTCTGACTTTTACTACACATACTATAAGGTTCATCACTGATTTTCTTTCCCTCTTTTTTATTCATTTATAAAGATTTTTTGCCTCTGAATGTAATCACATATGAAGTCAATGATGCTGTAACTTACACAATTTGCATTGTGTCAACTTTTTAAGGGAATTAAAACAAGCTCTGCTTGTTTTCAAAGAATATCAAGTATAAACACAGTACTGAATGAATATATGCACTGCATGTTTTCATACATGGCACTTTTATGTATTGTATTGGGTTATTGTTCTAGATTGGACTGTTAAATACTATATTTGAGGCTGGATTGTCATTTTTATAACTGTCTTGGTATTTTATTGCCATTATTTATTACTTTTGATATACAGAATGAGCTGCATGCATTTATAGAGCAATAAGACGATGTATTTAATGTGCCTTGTTTTTAACTGAATAAGAACTGAAAGCATGAATCAATAAAACTGATTAAAATGCTCCATTTGCTGGCATTTTGGTATTCCTTGCAGTTAGACAAATAACTTTAATTACTCCTGAAGTTTTTTTTTCTAAGTTCGAAAATATTTTCAGAAACTACTTTTCAATGATATGTTAATCTTCAAAGTTGGAAATGTGTAATTGAGTCTCAAAGGTGAAATCTCTGCATAGACAGATGTAATCTTATGAGACTACCAGAATGAAATATTTGTATTAATTTGTTGCTGGAGCCGTTAGGGCTGTGATTTTTGTATTTGTGCAATCCTACTCTGAACTTACATTTATCCTATTACAACTCAGTTGAGTTCTTTTTCTTTTCCTTCCCCCTCTCACCCCCGCCTTGCCTTTTTTTGTCAAATAGAACCTTCAGCCTCAGAGTTCCCAGGCACACTGATGAATTTTATCATAACTAAAATCAATAGAAATGAATGGGAAAGATTACATAATCCATTTTGATCATCTTACATGTCAAGTTAGTGCAGGGTTGCCAAGTGTTGATAAATGCTCTGACAGAAAAAAGTGCTATATATTTTCATTGTCAGTAAATCAGTAAAACTGTTATCAGTTTTAACACTGGGCAAATTTTATAATGCCCTTTTTTTAAAAATAGGTTTTAACTTACACAGGTCCATGGAGTATGTTCTCCATTTTGTGCTTTAGGTGTGCTGCCTTCTGGTTTGGTGCGCTCAAAGGCATTTGTGAGCTTTTGAAGGTCCTTTGAAATGGAATAGACTATCCAAAGCCAGGCCTCCCAGGCAGACTTGAACAATGAACTGTTAGTTGAATACCTGGAAGAAAACATATAAGCAACTCAAAACATTTTTTTCATTGATCTAGCCTATCAAATTTGATAGTACTTTCAAATTTGTCAAAAGATTGTCCCCAGTTTTCAAAATGTGTAAAATTGATGGTTATAAAAAAGTGAAACATGATATAGCATCAATATTTTGCAATGACTGTCAATAGTGTGTTATCACTGGTGTCAGATTTTCACATGATGGAATTTGACTTGTGAAGGTAAGAAGCAACAGAAGTTTTAAATTGATCTGGTACCCTTATAATGAGAGAATTTCTGTATAGGAGGCAGAAATGATGAGCCATTTGTGCCATTTGTGTACTTTGTAGTTTAGGTCTCGAATTAGCAACCGATTTTGTGTGAAATGCAAGCACAGAACATGATATATTTGAGCCTAGATGATACCACCAGCAGATGTGCAGGTCCTTGTGGTAAGAGTTGTGGGTACTTTGGGGGGAAAAATTAATAGATACCCTTATATTTTTGTCACCTAGTCCAGAAAGAAAAGCAATATATTTCTTTTTTTTTTGAATGGTGAAAATACCATACAGAGGGGTTACAATTACATGGGCAAGGTAATGAGTACATTTCTTACCAAGCATTGCTGCCTCCTCCTTTGTTTCCCCTTCCAAGTGAAGCAATATATTTCTTTAGCAGAATTATTAGGCCTATCTGGGTTCTCCACTCTTGGCATTGAATTACATTGTTTATTATACCCTATGGGAGGTGTTCTTGTTGGAGCTACCTGAATCTAGGGAGTGTACAGTCTATATCCTTTACTTGTAATTATAGTTATGGTTAGTATATAATGTCAGTGAACAGAGAGGAGGATTGAATTGCCTAGAACCTGTCTTGGACATTACATCTTGGCACATAGTACAGCTAGTTACACTTCTGAGCCATTCAAATCCAGTTTTATATCTTAAGCAGAGCATCCCTGTACATTTTCCAGGCAAATGACTCCTTTAGAACCAAGTTTCCTTTTATTCCTTGGCTGCTTGGCTTGCTTGCACTGTGTCAAGGAGTTTAGAGGTGTTAAAAATACATATGCATTTGAATTCTTTTTTCTGTTGGCCCTAGTATCTATAACAGAATAGTTTTGGTGCTATGAATCTTAAATTAGAGTGGTTTTACATTTATATATGTATATATCT